TAAAGGACCATACCAGTGTTTTTGCTCTACAAATCTGTACATTGTTGTTGACCACTTTGCAAAACATAGATTATAAGCCAAGAAACTGCACACAGAGATAAAAGTACATCAACAACAATTGTTTTTAAGCCATTGTATCTATTTATTTCAGTCTAGCATGAAAACCACCTTAATGTCGAATTCAGTCTACACAAGATCAGCATAATACTGTCCTGACACCTTACAGATTTGGGGCATCAGGAATGAAAATGAGCAACAAGGGCACAACAATTGTGCATTTTATCTTGTGTATTGTGGAGACATGTTTTGCCCTCTCTCACTTAGTTTGTACGCTTCAGAAAACAGCTGTAAACGTGGTGAAGAGAAAGAGGAATGAGGTTTTGTTTCATTTCAGTGAACCTGTAAAACTCCCCCTTTGGTGAGGAGCATTGCACCAAATTAATCTCACCTGTAGTCTGCACACATATGTAAGCGGCCCGGCTGCCCACTCAGCACCCCGCCGGGTGACGATGAATGGCTCCAGTCTCATTTCCATTCATTAAACTGTGATTGCATGCATAAACATTTGCTGTCAGTCCCTTGCACCTTACCGATCACCGCAAGTCATGAAAGACCGTAGGCTCGGGGTCTGGCTTGTATTCTGCCATGTCTCTAGGTCAATTCACAGCAAGAATTTAAGACTCAAATCTGAAACAGTGATCATCTCAAATACCAAAACAATTTCAGGTCCCTGTAAGTGAAAGCATTGTATACAAACTACTCTCTTTTCTTAATTAGTTTAATTCAAATGAGAAAAGCTTTTAAAGGAGTTATAAGAATTTGCTTTTAAAACGTTAAAAAATGTAATAAAATTATCAGCAGAATGTGAAAAAATAACAATTTTTACATTTCATTAAAGACTTTTATGTATTGTGTTGCAGAAACATGAAGTTAGCATGCTAACCAGCTAGCCCCAGCCCGTCCTGTCTTATAATTCCACTTTGTACCTCAAGAGGTGATGATGAGTCACTGTAGCGTCCAGTCTGCCCTCAGTCCAACAACACTGAGGTAGTTTTCTTACCAGGTTTGGCTCCTAGCACCAAAAGCTCCTGTGCTAGCGGTGTAAACACCAACACACCCCTAGGGCTACTCTGAGCTCCCTGTCCGTGCAGAGTCCGGCTAACTGAGCCAACTGAGCTAACTGAGCTAAAATGCAGCTTCATTTTCTGGTGCCTCCTAGTTGTTTGTAATATGAATTTGACAGGCGGCCAGTTCTTACATATAGCTCCCTTTAATTCCTGGAAATGTCATTCTGAGCTACAGCCCTGGCTGTGGGTATGTAGAGCTGAATGCAGCCTTAACTTTTCATTATCTGTTCCTTTTAACGTCTCTTGTCTCCGCAGGCCACAAAAAGAGGAAAAAATCCCGCGAAGGAGAGAAAACACCAGAGGACATTTCAGAACAGCCGCTGGTGAAAACCTAGCAGAGTGTGAGAGATAGAGACCCGAACACTGCATCGTCTTTAAGTTGTTTGTAAAGACGATGTGGTTGGTGAACTACAGCTATCAGAGTTTTATCTGAAGACAACACGACCCCCACTGTAGGAGATTATAAAGTGGACCCATCACCAGGAATGTACTGAACACATGGATGGAAGATACTATTTTATCAAAGTCCTGGGGGGTTGCAGCTTTGGCAATATGCATTAAACCGTAGCTTCTCATCTTCACAGGTTTTTCATGCTGATGCTCGTGTATAAACACATGACTGTGAATGTAAAAGGTTTGTAGTAAAAATAGTTTTTATACACTATATACCCTCTTCATGTCATCACTTCTCCAACGGAGCTCAAGGGAATAACAGTACACAGGAAACGGATGGAAGACACCAAAGATGTTGCTGTTTTGTACATACTGCTCCAAATTGCACACGGGAAAACAGAACAGAAGTAAAGTAGCAACTTTGTGTTCAGGTTTTTGATTTGAAAGGTTTGGTTAACGCTTGTTACCTGCTAATTATATCTATAGTCTAACATGTTGATGTACAAAAGCATAATTTTAACCTTTTATTCATCTACGAACAAGCCTTTCATTTTCAGATTGTGTCTGGAAGTCTTTCCAAAATGCAGATTGACACCTATATAAATATATAAAGATGTATGACATGACAGCTCTCCAAAAATGAAGCCAAAACATATTGATCGCCCCCTGGTGGCTGACTGTATGTTAGCAGATGGGACATGGGCCAAAAGTGTAATTTTTTCTGATAAGTTTGATTTTAATTAGTTATTTGAAGCTATAAAAAAAGATGGTTCACGTCATGATTGACAGCTGAGCCCTGCTCTTGATTGAGTTGGCCCGGTGTATGAGCGGGACTTCGATACTGCGCCAACCCAATTGCACAGACTCTGGCTTTATCCGGCCGTATCCCGGATAAATTTGGCTTCATTTCTGTACAGTGGGAGGAAGTGGAGACACGGCGTCCATCTTTTATATGTCGACGATTGACACATTCTCATTCAAGTACATGAAGTGGCCAAAAGTATGTGGACACCCCTGTTTTTCTTAGAGTGATATTTTTGGACTTGGTTTGTGTCAGCAGTTTTTTTGTGTAAGGACTTGACTAGCCTGCACAGAGCCCCGACCTCAACCCCCTCTGACTCCTTTGAGACGAACTCGAACAACGACTTGGAGCCAGACCTGATTACCCAATATCAGTGTCGGACCTCACTGATGCTCTAGTGGCTGAACGGGAGCAAATCCCTGCAGCCAGGTTCAAACATCTGGAGGAAAGATGTTCAACCACCCCACAAGCGTAAAAGTTTTGGTGTCCACATACTTTTGATCATGTCGGGTGTATCAGTTCAGTAATAACATGCTTTCAACTATTGTAAGCTTGGACTAACTACCTTGTTATTTAACAGTGATCAGACTGCATTTATGTGGCTGGTCATAAACTTATTTGTTTGATTTGTTCTGCTTTGTGGTGAAATGGATCATCACTCCTTGTTGTTTTTCTCTGGAGCTCTTCTTTTTCATTATCATTCATTATTATTATCTCTTTTTCAGCTAACGTTATGTGATTTTAACAGCATTTTTATACCTCATAAATATTCAATATTTTTTTATTTGGACCTTCGAGGACTAGCTCAGACGTGGATAAAAGACGGACTGAAGCTTCCTGTCTGCATATAGATTTTAGAAAATCTTGCATCAGGTTTTCATTTGAGTTCAGTTTTATTCATCACACGACTTGCGACCACTGAACCTCTTCAAATGATCAGCGCTTGAGCTGAGCCCTTTTCATTGGATCCATTTCAATTATGAATGAATGTCATTCTCTCTGGCTTTTCTTTATTGGAAGTGAAAAGAAACTGGGCTTCATGGCTGCAGGAACAGTTCACACACGGGATGTGGTGGCACTGTCTCCTCATAGGATAGAGATTGTATATTATTGGCTTTCTGAAGTCAGCACCTTTTCATGCTGTCAAAATTGAACACAGACATCCAACAAGGCTCTAGTCTCTGATGTATTTATTACACACGTCAGTGTCTCCAACGATTTCTAAACTCAACCAATCAACATGTAGATAATTACCATGACACAAACATATCTTAAAGCTGCAGTAGGTAACTTTTATGAAAAAAAATTCTTGTCATATTTGTTGAAACTTTGAGTATATCCTGACAGTAGTACATGAGACAGATAATCTGTAACGAAATCAGGTTCTTCTGGCTCCTCCTAGTGCGCCTAATGGCATTTGAAAAAAGTTCACAGGGCCTGGATCGTGTTTCTCCAGCATGATTTAATACTAACAACAGTACATTTAGGGAGTGGTTGCGCTTTAAATTAGCATGAAATACTTTTACAATGCTTAATTTCTTGTTGTGCTGAAACTCTCAACTGCTACCCACTTTCTGTATAAGAGCAATACTGAAAACATTTAATGCAACAAGATTATGGAGGAGAAACCACAGATAGGGTAGATATCAAAAACAACACCAGCTAACTTCACCAATTATCTGCAATGAGATAAAAGAAATAAGTGGAATGTGGCTTTTGGTGTTACTGCTTGCTAGTCGAGTCAAAGTGTTTGTACAGCAAGATAAAACCTTGACCGGGCCTTTAGTTGATGATTTGTCACATTCACACCTGGCAGGTGTGGATCTAGACAAATATTCATGGAGGGCAGAAATATATGATGATTTAATTGCAAACATATATTTGCTTGTAAAAGCCCCCAAATTCAGATATTGTCTCTAAAAAAAACATTACATTGTTGTGGCACATTTGTAAAGCATTGAATAGAATGAATTTCTACGTTATTTTTATTTGATTTTATTCGCATTTGATACCAAACTGGGGTGGCAGTTGGGGTGTCCGAGCATTTTCTAGGGGTGGCGGATCCACCCCTCTAGATCTGCCCCCAGGGAGAGATACAGTGAGTTCAAGATATAATTAGATTTCAGTTTGTAGTATCCAATATATCAATATTATACCCAAATTGATTAACTTATAAAGGATAAGTTTTTTAATATTTTTCTGGAAAAATTGGGAAAAATTATAGGGATTTTATAATAGTGGCTGTTATCTTATTTGGATTCCTACTTTGGAAAAAGTCATGGTTTAACGTAGTTACCATATTACTAATTTTGGAGCCTTAACATTAAAAGATGTGTTGCTTTCTAAATTCTTGAAGGACTCACAGCATGGAAATGGCAACCTAGAAGAGCTCATACAAGTCTTAGTTTGTGGATTTAATGCCACAGTCAACATGTTTTACAACAACATTTGAACCATAGAAAGTACATTTACATGTGTTATATGGGTTTTACGGAAGCATCCTGGTTATGTTATGTGCATGTAAACGTCAGATCCTGGTTTCAGAAACGTGGATATGCTACCTGGACAGAGTATTATGATCATGTTTACAGGGATATGAATAACCAGGTTTTTCATGTTCTTTGTAAACTCCTTACCCCTGAATATGAGCAAAAACAGGATAAGACTAAAAACCAGCGTGTGCATGTAAACAAACTCATAAGAGAGTGAAAAAAATGTGACTTCTTGCAGCCCAGAATCCTTCAGTTCTGCCCGTCTGTGCATAGTGTGCTGACTGCGTCCCTGAACCTGCAGTGCTGTGGACTTTTTGTGTTTGTCTGCATGGTGTTAGAGGGACGGGCTGGACGGGCGTGGCTCCGTCTGACTATGTTTGCAGGATCAGATTTGTGCCACTGCAGCACAGAGGAGGAGGAAAGGGGGGATGCAGGGGAGGATGAGGGAAATGGGGGGGTGGGGGGTGCAGATAGGAATGTGAAGTTTCAGGTCTGAAGCTGTTATTGCCCTTTTATAACAGTGAAAATATAATACCTGTTCCTGCCTGAACCTGCTGCATTTGTTAAATTCTATTTAGTATCTGTTTGGAGGTTTTAAAGGTCTCAACATGTCTCACTATTTTTTGTGGGTTTTTCAATCTTACAGAGAGAGAAAGTTCCTCAGGAAACAGTTTGGATGTAATTAAAAGAAAAATGACAATCATCAAATTTAATTAACCTAAATATTGACAATAAATATGAGCAGCCTCTCCCCGTAGTATTGGCTTTTAAAAACCCAAATCGATCCATGGCAGGCTGGGGACGACGAAGAGGAAGGAGGGCTGCCTTCTAACTCAGCTCATTGGCTAATGTAACAGGCGGGGGGAGAGATAGGGGGAACATCCCTCCTGGGTGCAATATATCAGACCTGCTGAGTCACTTTGCTGCATTGGAGCAGCGACCACAGCCAATCAGCATCATCCTTTGAGGTCAAAGACAGACAATAACTGCCTCTGGGTATGTTTTCCTGCTGCAGATCCAGCTGATCTTTGCTCATCAGGATGTGTTCTTAAAGAGGCTGAGATCAGTTTTGTATTTTCACTCTTTCTGCTATGAGCCAATATACTCTCTGATTGCCGCTTCTGGACCTTTGTATTGTTTTCAGCTCTGTTCTGCTGTGTTTTGTAATGGAAGGACCTGTGTGGAAGAGAGGGATGATGACATGTTTTGGGAAAGAATATGATAACTTGTAAAATAGAAAGCAACTGTTTGACGGTATTTTGCATCAAAATATACAGAAATATAAAGCTCCACAACACTCTGAACTTCAGCAGTCTCTGGTCTTCATTTCACATTGAAGAATACATCTGGTGATATTATTATTACTATATTTTACTATATGATAAGTACCTTTACTTTGACACTTCAAAAAATAGATCCCCTCTAGTCATGCTGGAAGATACATAAAAATACTTTAAAAAAAAAAGACTAATAAATATAAAAACCGAAAAAAGTTAAATTACCAAGTCAAAAACTCTTAAAATGTTCTTCTCATTGAATAATCTCAGATGCTAATATTTTTAAGACCAGTGTGTACCATTTAGGAGGATTTGTCATACATGTAATATAATATTTTTAGGTATATTTTCATTAGTGTATAATCGCCTGAAAATAAGAATCGCTGTTTTTGTAACTTTAGCCCTTCAGGATTTTACAGGCTTTTTTTGGGATTGTTGTGGCCTAAAGTGCCTTTTTTTTTTGCAATTAAGTTGTGGAAATTGCAAATATAGTTGTGATTCTTTTTGTATAATTCATTGAAAATCAGAAGGGAACTTGTTCCAGTGAGAATAAAATCTTGGTAAAGTATGTATCAAAGTTTTGCCTGGGGGATTGCGATTATTGATGAAACTCACAGGAAACTACAGACTTTTCAAATTTGTGGAAAAGGGGCTGCTTAGGTTTTGTGACGCTCTCCTTCATACATGTAGATTAGAGACTGCGAAGATAGAAACCTGGGATGAGTTTTTAAGAAGAAAAAAAAAACAGGCAGAAAACAAAGATTGTTGTGGATTTCATTTATTTCAGCATGAACACACATTCTTCTGTGTGCCATCACAAACAACACCACATAATGGGAGTGCAGGTCTGTGGCTAACAAGTGTCAGGCTCTGAGGTCTGATCAGAGTGGCTCATTACGACAACCAGCTTTAGAGGCTTTCTGTAACAGAATAAGGGCACTGCAGGGTGGAAGGAAAACAACAACGGACACAGAAGAGAGTTGATTATGTTCACTGATGGCACAAAGTCGCTTTTGAGAACTAACATTATGATCTTCTACGTAGCTGCACAGGTCTGACAAGGCACAACCTGCGTCATCAGGCACATGCGTTACACCTTCAAGTGACCTTTCAACTCGGTCACATGACAGAAACAACCACCACTGTACTCATAATGCCCTTTAGACTTCAACACAGGAAATGTTCTGGCATGAGTTGATTGTGCGTTTTAGTTGTCTTCAAACATCTAAAATTTAAATCAGAGCATACCATTTTTTCATTAGTAATTTGTTGCTTCATATAGTGACACAGATTACAGTAATTAAATAATGTACTATTCAGGGTACTCAAGTACTTATTCAGGAAATAGCAGGACCTCTAATAGTGATTACGTTTATTTACATGAATGTTATTTTGTTCAGTACTACTGATATATCATATCTAAACCCTGTAAGTGCTGTAAGTTATTGAGGAAGCACTAAACCCAACACAGAAACAGGCAATCTGCAAATGAAGGGACCTGGATAAAAGAGATTTGAATTATACACATTGGGGTTTGAAGCTCTGTTGAAACTCAGACCTGGCTGTGTGCGTTCAAGTGTCTTCCTAAAATCATTGCACCTCCCAAAGGTTTACACTAGAGGACTGCATTGGGACAGGGATCCCGTGAGACCCAACGCAAATCTCGCAGGAGCGGGTGGTTAAAAAGCTCTGTGGTAAAATAATTAACTGCAGTTCCTTTATGTGAGTTTATTAAGAATGAACGCCACGTGAACGGCTCGGACTTTAAGCGAGTCCTCCTGTTCGCTGGCAAAAGCAAAGTGTTCGTTTAAATGCAGGGGAGAAAGCATGACTATAGACAGGTATGCATTAGAGGACTGCGGGAGCGGGCGGTTTGAACTTTTCTGCGTGTGCTAGTGGGCGGTAATGGTCAGAAACCCAGCGGGATAAAGAAGACAGTCCCGCACGGGGCTCTAGCTTATACCTTCATGTGAGAACAGAAAATCATCCGCCCTCCCATTGGTTCAAGTGCAAAATCCCTGCTGCAGTTCAACCAATCAGAGGCCGGGATAAGGAGGGGAGGGGTAACAAGGGCAAACACACACGTGACGTTACTTCCTGTGGCGTACAGGAGGCAGGAAGTGGGCGGACCGATGCAGCCTTTACTGGACCTTGGTGACGGTCTCGTGGATGGACTGAGCGACATAGTCGATGTTCTTGGTGGTCAGGCCGCACATGTTGATGCGACCGCTGGCCATCAGGTACACGTGCTTCTCTTTGATCATGTACTCCACCTGTTTGGCTGTAAGACACATTACAACACGGTGAGAGAGCGCAGAAGAAGAACGGATGTTTCACACTTTGGGTCTGCACTCGAGATTCACTTACTAGCTTTTTCTACTACACCTAACTGAGCAAACTCCTCTGATGAAGACCATGAGGAAGACTGGATAGAACTTTATTCATCCCAGCTTTACAGTTTGAGCTTGCGGATGAAAGCTCCAGAAAAAGCTAAAAGTGAACCTCCACGTAGGATTTTAAAACAGGGCAGGAAACACCAACAGTAATAACAATAACAATTATTTTCTTTATCGATTCATCTGTCGATCATTTTCTCTAATTAACTGATTAGTTGTTTGGTCCATAAAATGTCATCATCACTGTTTCCCAAAACCCAAGGTTTCGTCCCTAAATGTCTTGTTTTGTCCACAATCAGAGATATTATTGTCAGAGGACTAAATAAAATCAATAAAATTATCACTGAAACTATGATGAATGAATTATCAAAATAGTCCAACTATGTGTGTGTTTGGTCGTTAGTGCGTTCCCACTCACGGTTCAGGCCGGTGAAGCTGAACATGCCGATCTGCTGGGTGATGTGGTCCCAGGTCCCCGGGGTGCCCAGAGCCTGCAGCTTGGTCTTCAGCTGATCCCTCATCAACAGGACCCGGTCTGCCATGGTCTTCACATTACCCTTCCTACAGAGAGCGAGAAACACACTGAATAAAACAGTTCCAGCCTTAAAACACCTGCTTCATCCCCCAGCTGTTGGCAACAAGACCAAAGGACCGATCCCAGAAGGGGGCTGCCGAGCCAGAGCTGCTGCTAACGTTAGCCTCCCCAGCTTGTTTCTCTGATAACTTAAGATCCAGACCCCCTCATATGACTACTGGATTTCTGGATTTAAACATTGTTGGAAACATAAACATATAAATTTGGTTATAATGTAAATTACATACATTTGTCTTATTACTGATATGTAACACTGGGATAAAATGATGCTACTAAGTCCTCAATATACAGGGAAAAGTATGTATGAATGAATGATGGGGCGATTCCAGAGGCGTTAATGTGTGATATTTAGTATTAAGCCAACAATTAACATGGAAACTAAAATGTTTTAACATCGATAGCGATCCTATTTCTTTACAAACCATGAGCTGAAGGATACTAACAGGTTATATTATGTTGGCTCTGTGGCCGTTAGGAGCGTACCATTCAGCGAAGAGCTCGGGGCAGTTGAGGGTCTTGCTGACGATGCGTGCTCCCTGAGAAGGCGGGTTGGACCAAGTCGTCCTGACAATCTTCTCCATCTGAGACAGGATGCGGGCCAGGTTCTCGCTGTCCTGGGCAACCACGGTCAGGTTGCCAACTCTCTCATCTGGCAGCAGCGGAGAGAAGGACTGCGTTAGAACATACAGCGCAGCATAATGTGCATAGACAGGTTCCTGGCATTTACATTTGTTATATTTTACTAGTTAACATTAATACGTGTGTCTGTATCACATGTGCTTACTGTAAAGGCCGAAGTTTTTGGAGAAGGACTGAGCCACAAACAGCTCAAAGCCCTCGGAGACAAAGTAGCGGATGGCCCAGGCGTCTTTATCCAGGCTGCCAGAGGCGAAGCCCTGGTAAGCCGAGTCAAAGAACACAAACAAATTCCTCCTCTAGAGGAAAGAAAAGAGAAAGAGAATCAGCACAGTGATGTTATTATATGCAGAACAGGTTTAGCTATATCACATGGTTAAACTTCCTTTTCAAAATAAAATATTTTAAATATTTCTCAAATGTTGTATTGCATAAGTAAGAGACTGAGGAAAGAGGTGATTCAATTATTTACAATAGTCTCAGCTATGTGACAGAGTTTACCCTACAGTAACATCCCTCCGACAAACTCTGAATCAACTGGGCCTGCTCAGCATTTTAACATGCCTGCATGATCACTGCATTCGTTATGTTCCTCCACTCATTTATTGAGGTTTTTCCTTCTGTTTGTCCCCCGTCTGTAGAAGATCTGAAGAACGCCGTCTCACCTTCATGATCTCTGCAATCTTCTTCCACTGCTCCTGGGTCGGGTCGGTGCCGGTGGGGTTGTGTGCGCAGGCGTGGAGGACAAAGATGGAGTGCTCTGGAGCTTTCTGTGGAGAAAGGAAGAGTCAGATCTATATATAAAATATCCATATTCAAATTATCAGTGTTTTATGTTTGGTGGTTTAGTGGTTTAGTGGATTTGGCCTTTTACTGGTTAATTTATTATCAAACTATCAGTATCTAAATCATAAAGCCACATTAGTTCATACAATATTTACTGTGACAAACAGCTTGTGTGCATCATTGTGATGTGAGAGGCAAATGGGATTAGACAACAATTTTATCACAGTATTTTCAGGCCATCAACAGAGTCCATTACATCCACTAGTTAACTCTTTTCTTCCCAAATAGAGCCACACAGCTTTATTTCCATAAATATATTTTCATTCTGCTTTATAGCAGCTTTGATTTCCACATTATATTTTTCTACCACACTACTTTTATTCAGTGTAATAGAATACTTTAGATCTATAAGATGACCTGTTACCTAACAACTGTGGATAATAAAATGATTCGTGATTTTTGTTTTGTTGAGTCACTGGTGCGTTAAAAATGCTGCCACCGAGCAGCTGTTCACCCATCGCAGTCGTCCCTCCTCACCTCCAGGTCATCCAGGAGCCCGGCGAGGTCCAGGCCCCTATTAGCAGCATCCCAGTAGTGGTAGGGCCGGATGTCTTTGAAGCCAGCATCAGTAAACACACTATTGTGGTTCTCTGGGAGGAAGAAGGACAAACAGCAGTGAAGCCACATACCGACCATCCATTTCATCCTACAAACAAAAGATTCAAGGATGTCTACTAACCCCAGGTGGGCGCCGAGACGTAGACGGGTGTGGCCGTGTTGTTGACGCCGTTGTACCAACGCCGCAGGAACTCTGCCCCGATCCTCAACGCACCTGTTCCACCCAGACACTGGACCCCTCCCACCTGAGAGAGAAAGCAGCATGAGGAAGACAAGATGAATATTATTAAAGCTAAAACACTTCGCACGTCAAAGCAGCCGCCCCTATAATGTCTTACATATAACGCCGGCAGTGGCCTTATTTCCAGCGTGACCACGCCTGCACTGTAATCCCATCAGTTATTTTAACTAAAATAATTAAGTAACAAACTTAATTTTTAAGTTCAAAGATTCTTGAAGTGAAACCAACTGTAAGTTACAGACACATTCCTGATGAAGTACTTTTTACTAGGTATTTTGTTTTCACAGTACAGAATTAAGTCAATGCCACTTAACAGTGAAGTTTTAAAGGCCAACAAAAGACACTGACTGTTGAGCCATAGCTCTGGAGATTGACTCTTCAGGTGAGTTTAATTTGTGCCTTATGGTTGACACTTCTTACACACATATACGATCGATTTTAGTATATGAAAAGTAAACAGTCCACCTTTACAGTTGAAAAGGTTCAGGCTACATTCTGCTAAATGGGACAACGCTGCCACCTGCTGTTGGAAATCTGTACCAGCATTGGGTAGTAATGGAGGATTATTTGTCATCGATGCAGATCTGCTGTCTGACCAACTCCGAGAAGATTCTGCCAAAAGATCCTCCTCAATGTTACAAACTGGACCTTTAAGATGGTAAACAAGCATGTTTCCCCGAGATGTTTTGTTGATTTCAAACTGTAACTACTGTATTGTACTGTATACGCACACTGTATACTGTACACACACACAGCCTCATTTCAATAACTTCACCAGACCCAGTGTATAGATTGTTTACTGTGTCTCACCCTGTTCTCCTTGATGGCGGGGCTGTCCTCCCCAAGGGCGACCTTGGAGGAGGCGGAGCGGAACTCGGGCAGGCCGAGGATGGGCAGGTACTCGTGGTTCAGGCTGTCGTCCTCCACGATCAGCCGCTCCACCTTCTTCACCACCGGCAGCACCCAGGGCTGGCAGTCGTCAGTACGGTAAGCTGGAGGGGACACAAAGCGAAGGATTCTAGTTCCAGCTCCAACACAGGTAAAAGTTAGTCACAGATGGATTATATCAGGGCAAAATGGAGCAAAACTACAGTGCAAAGTCTTCCACCCTAACAGTGCTTCCAGTCACACAAAGCATGGTTCTGATTATTCTCAAGTACTGGCACAAAAAAAAGGTTTATTTCTTGCTATGCTGCTCTATTTGTTCCATAAACCCATGATGTTTGAGCATAAACGTTTTGTTCATTTGGATAAAGAATATATATCTGCATGTGCATTTATTCTGCTAGAGCTGTGTAGCACATACAGTAAATGCTCTCCATTATCTCTGCAGGTAGAGGTATATCAATGACAGCAACCTTTCAGTCTGAAATGATAAAAGCTAAAGAGAGACAAAGGGAAGGAGAGAGGGAGCGAGTGTGAGAGAGAAACAGTACTATTTGACTTAATGTAAGGTCACACACTCTTCTGTCACTCTTAATAGCTAGACTAAACTAAGGGTGTGTATTTGTGTGTGTGTGTGTGTGTGTGTGTTGCACATATTTGACTCCTTAAGAACTCGTGCACCCTCGTACTGTATGTGGGCCTGTGCAGAGCTGTATCAAATATCAGGCCTCTACCACAGCTGTAGTGTAGACAGTCACTGTGGATCAGGGCAGACACACTAAAAAGGTCAAACTAGTAGTTGTTGGATCACGGTGAAGGACATTTGGTCGCCGTCAAAATAAATTTAGTGCGCCGCCACAAAGAGAAATAATAGAGGAAACAGCAGTTATCTAATGCTTCCAACAGAGTTCAGGGCCAGAACCACAAAGCGCCATGCATCACGGCACCGAGTGTGCAACGTGGATCAGGTGGCAAAAAGACCTTCTTCTTCCTCCACTCACTCCCCACACATAAGAAGTCCTAGCTACAGCTACTGATTGCAGTTAATTGATCCATTGATCAACTGTTCAGCTACACATAGAACGAGTATCTGAATCAGTGAGTGCGCACTGCCACAACAGATGGCCGGATGATACAGAAGCTTGTTTCGCTCCTGTGAACCTCACTGCTTCAGTACACTGTGTCAGAGGAAGAATACTATGTGATCGATGACGTGTGAAGCTTTAAACGTCACTGATGCTTCAGAGAGAGAGAGAGAGAGATTCATTCAGTTCAGTAGGAACATTAGTACGGATGTCCTGATTAAATCTTTTATTGGCTCCGGATCCGAGTCGTTTAAAATGGACTATCTGCCGACACCGAGTCCCGGTCCGGTCTCATTACACCTGCACAGTACACACTTCAGTTACCTGAATGAACTCATAAAACTCTCTCACAAAAAAGAAATCATTCGCCCTTCACTGACTCTCGTGTATCCCGTTACACAGAAATCCTAAATCCACGTTATAGATGGGTGAGGCTTTCAGCTCAGTATTCCTCCACTGTTGGTTATTTCCAGGCCAAACTGGTTCGGTGCACTCAGATATGCTTTCGCAACAAGGTGCAAAAGTTTCTTGGACTTCAATGCTTCACTCTCTGTAAAGTTACACTGAAGTCACTGAACCAGTAGAGATAATTGAAATCAATATCTAAGGACTCTGCCTGTTTAGTTACATTATTACACACAACTATGGTCATGGATGACATGACATCAAATCCTAATATTAGGTCATTTTAATTGGGTTGTAACAAGAGTCCAGGTGTGTAGGTGTCATCATACTACCAACAAACAGATACAATAAATGGCTATTTTATTATTAATAAGTCACTTTTCAGTGTGACAATAGACAGACACATATTAATGGCTGAGAAGTCGAAGTTGTTCCTCCAAGAGGCTGGAAAAAGGTAGTAGTACTAATGATTGAATGACATTACCTAACAATGACACCACCCCAGTGCACAATGATGTGGCAGCTGCTCGGATGAACTTCCTTCTAACTGCTTTAAAGTCACCAAACCAGTAGATCCTAACCTCTACGTCCCTGCTGAAGCTTCAAAACGACAAGATCACAAACACCAACGCCACAAAGGGAGTGTGGAGAATGATGCGTTCAAGGACACCGCTGACACAGTGGAACGAGCACCTGCTGTGTGTTACACCATGAGGAACAGGCTCCAGTGTCTGCATGTCTCCGGTATGAGAGCTGCAGCCTTCATGGACCGACTGCAGCTCTGGTTGCGACCTGTCAACCTCAACGGAAGCCTGTTAGGGCTCTGGCTCGTTAGCTTCCCCGCTAGCATGTCGCGAAGGTCAAACCAAAGCGCTGCTAATGTTTGATAGCACGACACCTCGACGCTAACTCAGATAGATTTAGGCTCCTAAACAGCGCGTCCTGCAGCGGACTCCCTGGCAGCAGGCTCTTACCTCCGACTCCCAGATTCACCTTCTGCGGGTGGCTGTCCTCCCTGAAGTCCGCGGTCAGCTTGAACACCGCGACCGGAGGGGCCTGCGGGACATCGCTGAATATGGACATGGCTCCGGACAAAGGCAGACGGTCCCGGTGCAAGAAGAGGAGACGTAGAGGGGGAGAGAGGGTGCTTCCAGCGAGAGACAGACAGAGAGAGACAGAGAGACAGAGAGAGAGAGCTGGTTCACCTTCACCCCGCTGGTTCACCAGAACCGAGAGAATAGGCGTCAATCCGGCAGCCAATAGGAAGGCACGTAACACCGACGTCGTCCGGATAGCCAATCAGAGCACAGTAATAAAAAATAATATATAGTTTTCATATTTATTTACTTTTATTTATGTAATATAAAGTTAGGTTGAATTGTTTGAGTGTTTGTTTTGTAACCCCATTTACTGTATAATCATTTAGAGTACATCATAAACACGTTAAAAAAAGAGGTAGATGAGAAATGGAGTAACAAAAACACAAACAACAAACTAAAGATTTTAAATTAAACTAAAAACAGGCCAATACTCTTATCTGAATACAATGCCTACTGCGTGTCATATCAAAGACAGTGCCTGGTAATACAGTAGGCTATAAAAAGGTAATGGTAATAAGAGCACAGAGCCCATCTTTCTGGTCATTTTGTTTATGGACCTAATTGACAACTAATTAAGTCCAATTAGTTTTAAACGTGCCACTTATTAAAGGTAATCTGTGATAATAATGCCTTTCTGAAGATAAATGCTCATTAATGAGATAATGAATGCTCATGTAACTGCTGATGAAGATGAAGATGACTGCCAGAGCCTTTAAAAGTCTTCAGGTTTCTGGTTTCAGCAGTTTCCCAGGACTCAACATTGACTCCATCATCAGAAAGGCAGAGGATGTACTTCCTGCGCCAGCTCAGGAAGCTCAACCTGCCTCAGGAGCTGCTGACACTTTGGATCGGCCACCAAACAGGACAGGAACAGACTGAAATGGACGAGTCAGGGCTGATAAAATCATTGGTTTATTCAGGACTTAAACATGTCCAGAGTCAGGAAGCAGGCAGGAAACATCACTGCAGATCCATCACACCCTGGAAAAAATCTGTTCCAACTTGTCCCATGTAGGTGCTACAGAGCACTGTACAACAAAACAACCAAACACAGAACAGTTTAATTCCAGAGGCCATCACTCAGATTTAAAGTTCAATCAGGTAAAATCCTGCATGCTGTATATGGACATGTATATGTAATGATAACATGTACATACATAACTCTCCACTTTGTGATTTATTTGTCCAGAAATTACAGAATATGTATATAGACACAGTATGTTGTCGGTCATTGTTTCTTATATATATATATATTTGTATGTTCAAGGTAAACACAGGACCAACACAAACCAAACACAGCAAATCATTTAAAATAAATGTATGTAAATGAGAGTGCAGTATATGAAAGATATAATCACAATCCAGTAGGTCTATCTCATATAAACCTTTAAACATGAGTGATAAGCAGTGAGTGGTTCAGATAAGGTGTGAGGAGTGAGGTTCTGATGAGTATCTGACAGCATGCAGCTGTAACAGCAGAACCTCTCGTCTGTCACAAGATGTCAGTGTGATCACGCAGAGGAACACACGAATGTGTAGAGTCAGAATGACTCTCGAAAAGGCAAATTTCACCCTGATTTTACAGCTTACTAAAGGAGACTGCGTTCAAGGTCACGGCTCCAAAACCCACGTTTAAACTTCCCTTTATGGGATTTGTAACTTTGTGTAACATTTTATTTACTCTTATTTTAGTTTATTTCTATTATATTCTTCTCAAGTCTTCATTTATGTTTGTATTTATGTTGGTTGCTGTGTTGTGGTTGTGAAGCACTTTGAAAAGGTGCTGTAGAAATAGTGGAGACTGAATCTGGAAGCATTCACAGCCTCTGTTCCTCTACACACAAAATACTTTATTATTATTCTTCCACCACAGTTTTTGGACTCAATTTCTTACACGTTTTTCAACTAGAAACTGAATTCAAACATCAAAATATTCACTTAAATTAGGACATTCCAACTTCTAATCAGATTTTTGATAACTTTCATACTTCAGTATTCCAGGTTTTTTCAGCAAATTTCCCCCATTCAAACAAAGTTTTTCATACATCTTCTCATTCATACTTTCAGCTAGAAACTTTGACATTTTAGGTATCGTTCAACTTTCAAATCCCATTAAAACGTTTCAAAATGTTCAAAGTGTAAGTGTATATTAACAGTGTTAAACCTAAAAGATGAAAACTGGTGTAACTAGCAGATTTTAATGGTGCTGTCTTCAGTTATTTGTTTATTTATATGAAACAAAGCACAGTTTCCCTTTTTAAATAATATTCTGTACATTTCCATGTTGTTGTGGGAATGTTGTACTTTGTATGTGATGGAAATTAATGAAAACTTATATGAACTTATGGAAGTCCCACATCTCCACTCATTCATACACTGACATAGAAACTCCAGTCAACCTTTGGGACTTTTTCACATTACTTTTTCATATCTTTCATACTTTTTACATAAACACAGATATACATTTGTGCAACTTTCAGCCCTTCTGAGGGTTTTGTATTAGTGCTTATGGGGCGTAATGTTCAGAGTCCTCTCAGAGTGAAGAAGAGCTGTAAAATCTTCTCACTCACTGAGCTTCAAAGCGAGCACAAACCACTTTTTAAAACCATTTTCCAACTTCCAACTACAATACTCCATCGGCTTCTT